TATATATATATATATATATAGTGATGTGACGTTTGAGCCTCACAAACACACTCGCTGCTTCGGCGAAGCCAAGACGGGTCCCGTGACACAGGCGCGCTATTTATAAGGGCGCGAAACAGCGCGACCTGTTATCTGCGGCTCGCGGTTCAACCACCGGACATGTGGTTCATGGCAAGCGCGGAGGGGTCAGTCGTGACGTCATGCCATTCCTCACGGAGAGGTCGGGCAACTGACTACACAGACCTTCTTGCAAAGGACGTCCAAGTGTCCGGACGTGTGCCGGGAGCGAAGCCGGTGAAAAGAGAGAGAAGCCATTTTGTCAAGAAAGTGCGAGTGAGAATAGCTAGTTATTCAGAAGCGAGCTGTAGAGCTGGGAGAAGTCAGTAGGTTGAATTGTATTTGTTTTAACGCAATAAAACATTACATGAAAACTGAGTGAATTAATGGAAAGATTACGACGAGTAAGGAGAGTAGCCGTCAAAATGAGGGCCGTGAACTATTACAAGGCGTTTGTGGAACTATACATTCAACCACAGAAGCCCAAAGTATTGCAAAGAACGTCGAAATATGCCATTAGCAACTACGCGAAGACTGTAACACGCGTCGATGTGCCGCTAGTCACGTGGAGCGAAGAAGGAAGACTGGACGTAAATGTTGGTGCCGGACGTGAATAAACGCGATAATAAAGGAGAGTGGACGTGGGTCTGGAGGCAGCAGCATGAAGACAGCAACATCGCGGACGCCTGGACTGCAGAGGAGCGTCCGCGCTGCCGGAATTCGGGTCAAGGTCAGGTGTACAGCAACTACGGGAGGACGGAAGTCGGCAGAACCCGTTGCTGAGAGCGCAGCGGCAAAGGTAAACAGAATTTGTAACGGGAACCTAGGGCAGGCGGCGCTACGAGGACGCCAGCCAGCGGCAGAAGAAAGAGGGAACTCTGGCAATTTTGCATAATCTGGAAGATTTCGTTGCGGTCAATGAAAACAGCAAAAAGGGGCCTTGTAATCCGTGTAGTACGTTTCATTTATGTATAATGCTAAAAGTAAATTCATTGTAAATAGTTATGTGATCATCATCATCATCATCGACAGCAAGGATTAGACCTCTTGGTCTGTTCCGTCTCAGAATTGTTCATGCCATCTCTTCAAGGGACGTCCTACACTTCTTTTTCCTTTAGGTACATATTGAAGAATAATTTTACTTATTCTATGTTCTGGCATTCTCAGGACATGACCTTTCCAGTTTTCTCAATATTTCTTTATGGTATCTATAACCGGCTCAATATTTAGTTCTTCTCTTGTATGTACACTTTTTTGTGGTCTAATAGTGAATATCCTGCCACAAAACGAAGAAATCTCATTTCTGCAGATTCAATTCGGCGCAGCTGATCTGATGTTAATGACCAGCTCTCACTTCCATAAAGTAGTAATGGCAAAGCAATAGCTTTGTAAAATCTGAGAAGAGTTTCCTTTTGTGCATTATCATGTAGAGTTCGCTGTAACGTTCCACAGAAATATGTGAAGTTGTTCAGCTTTATTTCCATATCCCTTGATTTTATATAATTAAAATTATATCCAAGATATTTAAATTCATAAACTTGTTCAATTATTTGGTCATATATAACTATCTTGGCTCTTAAAGGTTCAAGTCCTTTAAATGCCATCACTGTTGTTTTACTTGGTGAGATTTTCATACCATACTCATTAGCAACCTGACTTAACTTGTGGACTACTATTTGAATTTCATATTCAGATTTTCCTATGATAAGCTGGTCGTCGGCAAAAAGTAATGTTGGGNNNNATATATATATATATATATATATATATATATATATATATATATATATTTACAAAACTTATTCACAAAGGTAACATAGTACGAGGAAGTGAGACGCGTAAGGAAACTGGGTCATACCTTGCAGTCTCTTGGCGGAAAACAAAGGTCTGCGGTTTACTTTGATGTGCGGCTCTTTTTAAGACAGACGGCCGGCCGGTCTGAAGCGAGTGGGGGCGGTGGTGGGGCGGGGCAACCCGGCCGAGGGGTCGAGAGACGCGAGGTTGGTGGACGCATGAGAAGGGGGCGGGCGAAGGCGGGTGTAGTTAGGGGTGTACAGATTTGGCTACCAATTAGGCCCCGCCTAAGATGGTAAAATGGTCCCCTAAACCAAATGGCATATAAGAGGTAACACTATAATTCGAACATAAATATATTTCTGAAAGATTTCGTAGCCCCTATCCCACCACCCACATTCATCTACAGCCAGAAAAGTTTTTAAAATTTTTTCAATTAACATTATTTTTATCCAATTAAAAAATATGAAAAATAACAAAATCATTTATATTATCAAAAATACATGTTTTTATATTTTCTCAGCACCAAATTCAAACACCAAGTTTTTTTGAAAAAATAACTTTTAGTCTTAGAAAGGTCTTGAAGAAGCTTGAAAAAAATCTCGTAAGTTCTTCTTAGAACACAAATCCCATTTCCGTATGTTGTTGGCATTTTTAATCCTGCATCAGTATATGCAGGATACAAATGTGATCAGTCACAATTTAACAATGGCAAGTGAGCTAAGAGGGGATAATTGATAATATTCAATCGATTCAACTCACTGCATCAAAATTCAGTCTTCACGTCAGACCCGAAGACTTGACACGTTTCTACTTTCCAGTATACGTACGTATATACAGATACGTACCTAAGGGAAAGTTATGTAATGCTACAGAAAATTGATTTAGAGATTTCAATGGAAATACAGGTTTTGGAGTCCCCTGATAACGATTTTTTTTTTCTTCAAAACGTTTGTCCGTCTAGGGTTAAACATTAGTGCCCCAACAATGCCAAGGATTCTTTCCAACAATTTTCATCTCCATTTGGCCTGAGTCGAAGTTCTATGATTTTGAAAATCATTCACCAGTTTTTGGAGGTACTTTCCATGAAGATCCTGGAACATTTTCAAAATTTTCTCAAATATGGCTCGAACATTTTCTTTAAATTTCTTATAAGAATAGAGTAAAATGCACTTTTAAATTTGGCATAGATCCTATTTTCACGGTTAGCTCTAAATTTTTGAAAATTTCAAAAGTTTGAATTTTTTCTCGGTTTTTCTACACGAGAGAGAGGGGACACGAGAGAGAGAGAGTGGGGGGAGGAAGAGGGGAGATAAAGAGGAGGAGAGAAAGAGGGGGAGAGTGGGGGGAGGGAGAGGGGAAGAGAGAAGGGGGAGAGGCGAGAGAAAGAGGGGAGGGAGAGAGGGGAGAGAAAGAGGGAGAGGGGACAGAGAGGGGGGAGAGAGAGTTTTTTCTCAAAAACGGCTCCAAATTTTTTCTTCAAACATTATGAACGGATAGTGCTAATTGGTCTCTTTAACATGATGTAAAATTTTTTTCGGTGTATTTTTCTTTTCAAATATTACACAAATGTAAATTTTTTGAAACACCATTGACATCCACATTTCCATGAATTTGTAAACAGTATTGTATTTGTGAGTTAAAGTACCTAAAATGACTCCTAATGAAGTTTTTCGAAAACTCAAAAATTTTCTTTGAAAAAAAAGCTTCAAATGTTGAATTTACAGAAGCGCTTAAGCACCTCTGTCTTAAAAAAAGGCTCAAATTTTTCAAAGAAAATTGCCATTTAGGTTGAGGTTTTACTGTTCTTTAATAATCTTAAAATAATATTTCTGCTCTACAATTAGAAAACTGGAAAATTAAGAATTTGTATAAAAAAGAAAAAAAACTTTAGGCAGCAATAGATGGCATCTGGCAAGAGTAAGTGGCAAGTCCAAGTAGCAAGCTGAGACTAAAGGAAATAGAAAACTAAAATGGGAAAGTTTGTTCCATTCTGTAGCATCACTAGTTCTATGTATGTTGACGCGCTAAATCCGAAGCTGAAGCCAGAATTGTGACACCACCCACCATTTCTTTTATTTGTGAAAAAAAAAACCATCACCATGAGATTGTAAAATTGGGGTGTTTTTTTGGTGTGTGTCTGTGTGTGTTAAGAAGTTTTTGTAAAGGAAAAACTATGGTTTACAGTCTAAATATTATGTTGAATAACTTGAGATGAATCTTTACCACCAGAATTCAAACAAAGATAGTAACTTGTAAACAGCTTAAGGCTTAAGGTTAACTCTGTAATACCATCAATCATCACCAAGGACACAACCATTCAATCACAAACCTATTTCTAATTTTATTTATTATTGAGTAGAGTAAATAGCAAAATTTTAATTATTGCATTTCAATTATCCATTTTTCAGATATTCTAATAAGAATAACATACGCAGTTAAGTTTAGCTCAGAACCAGTTGCTTTCGCAGCAACTCTGACTGACAGGTCCCAGAGTGCCGAGTCGTAGTGACCCACTGCTCTGATAGATAATTTTCTGTGGTTTCTAGAATCAACAACCAGAGAACACCAGCAGTACGCGGCAAGAGCCAATTAACTGCAAGTACTTTCCTTTCTCTTCCTGATCCTCTCCTCTGGCTTACGCAAGCATGCACACACATGCACACGCTCTCTCTCTCTCTCTCTCACTACGAGTACCACACATCAGGAGCTGAGAACTTGACTTTGGCTGTAGTGGTGCTCCACTCATGGAAATATCTGGAGGGGAATTTTGTGCTCATTCAGCCATTTAGGTCAGTGTCAAATCTCTCAGCAGGGGAGGAACATGGCAAACATCCCTGGAAATATCAATCAATCAAAAAGGATAAAAATTCTGAAAACCTGCTATTCAAAACTGATAATTGTTTTTCATTCAAAATTGTAGAGAACACTACAAATTTGGTTGTTCCAGAAAAGCAACTCCAACATCTTTCTGATTGGAAAGTTAACTTTTAATAAGCAGACACATAAAAATCAATAACTTGGGTTTAGGAAAGAATATTCTCATGGGGAGTTCACAAAAACAAAGATTAAATGCAAAGACTTCTGTTTAAACATAGTTTTATTTATCAAAATACACAAACTGATCTATTTACTGCATTTGTTCTTCTTCTTTTACACACTGATCAGAGAATTAATATTTGGCAATTGCCAGTAAAACTCAAATCTCAAAGTAAAAGAGTTCCAAATAGAACATAGCTAAGAAAAGAAGGAAAAGAAAGGGGAAAAAGAACTGATGTCCATTATCAAAAAATAAAAGTATGGTCAAATGCTTTCATGGAATCTTACTGTGAAATGTACAATTCTGTCATAAAATACACTGAAATAGTCTACTAACCTCTCCAAAGTATAAAAATTACACATGCTCACTAATAAACTTCATTTGACATCTGTAATTCAGAAAACTTCAAATAAAAAGAAACAATGAGAAGATCTATTACCAACATTAACATTACATTCATTTACAGGATAAAATTCTGTTTTCGTCACAGCACATAACTAGTTAAAACAAAAACTAGATATACATACATAGTTTTTTAAGTTTGAAACTTGATGCACTCTTCCCATACACACAAAAGAACACAATGGTCCACTAAAATACATTCAGATATATTTTGTTTGCGTTAGGGCACTTTCTCCAAATGTAGGATCGGTCATCCGAGACCAATCCGTTTGGCCAACGACGAATCCAATAGCACGCATCTTCTCCTGTTGGTGCCGTTCCTCGAGATCTGCCCAACGAACCTAAGAACAAAAAGATGAAGATTAGAAATACAGCAGTTCAAGTGATACTTAAAAGAGTAGAAAAAGTTAAGAAATCATGCATGTTCACATTACGACATCCTAACCAGTCAATGTGTCACATTTGCCTGGAAGGTCACAGCATTGGCAACACTGCCTCTTGTGGACAGACAAGACTTGAGAAATTGTAGAACATCTGCGCACATTTGTATGTTGCCTGAATGTTTGTAAAATATCTGTAAGTGGTTACATTTCTTTCTAGCTCCAAAGATTGATTGTAGCAAAACAAGTACTTTGATTATCTAGTATAGATGTTGCAGGGTCCATTTAATTTGCTTTTATTAATTATATATTCCATTTCTTGTCCTGGTATGTGTGTGTATATGTGTGTATGTATATATATATATGATAGTTGAAACTGATAGTTGACGATACATATCAGTACCACAAACACTGAAAGTTAATGTATATTTTAATATAATAGATTTAATATAAAAGCTGCTTCATTTAATCCAGGAGTAACCTAATTTTTCACTAATGAACTTTATTTCGGGTGTAAGAAAAGCAACCAGGACAAGAAATGGGAATCCTGTGTATTCAGTGTGTCGTGTGTTACTCCTGACATGCTGATTAAAAGGCACATGCCCTTTGTCGTTTTCATGATTTGGATGGAATTAACGGATCACACAACAGACTATTTACTGTCTGACACAAATAGCTGCAAAACGAAGAAAATTATGCAGTGTCCTAATTTACCACCGGCTATAAGATGTGTACGACATTCAAGAATTGCTGGTACCACGTCCTCCTGAGAATGTAATAGTGAACAAAACTGAATGTTACAGTGGCGACCATTCAGAAGTATAATTTTTCATATACAATACAATTGCAAAAATATTTCATAGCCAAGTGTGTGACATTTGTTAAAAATAAAATGGTATTCCACATATGGTACACTTCCCCTGCCATGAAACAAACATTCAGATTATTTATATTATTTTGAAACCTAGTCAAAAACATGAGTAAAATTGAAGACGCAGAATACTCTGACCCATCAGTTCAGTGGTTAACTTCTTCAAATCTTCCCCTGTGTCCACATACCTCCTACAGGCCTACCATGTACAAGTCTGAGTACCCTGTGTGGCAAACAAACTAATGCACGTTTGCAGTTAAGATTCTTTGAAGCACAGAGTTAAATTTTATCTTTTGACAACTTACTCTTTTCTCTCCTGGCTTGCCGCTGCCTCGGCGATTGTAGTCATCCGTTAACTGAAGCCAGTCCTCCAAGGTCTTGGGTTGTTCGTCCACCTTTCGTCGTCGTGCGAGGCCATCCAGCCGGTCTGCAAGCGCAAAGCACTTTGTCCACATTTGTTCTGGCTCTGACTGACCCTGTCTCTTGTAGAGAACAGGAAGGCAGTCTGAATTTTGCGTGATGCTTTTATAGAACCTTCTCCTGTATGCTTTATTGAGTGGACTTTAATCTTTCTGTGGTAAGCAGTACATCTGGTACTTTAATGCTCAACAATGAAGTGATAGAAACAAATAATATAAAACCTGATCAATTAAATAAAATGCCTTATTGTACAAATTAACTGCATTATAACATTATTAATCTACTATCAATGATGATAATGTTAATTTATTAATCTAGAATCAATGATACATGATGGATCCTCTATTAGCACTAATGAACCGACATTCATTAACGACAATCCAGAAGTTTGGATTACAATGTATACTGACTGATTACCATTACCATTGATATCAGATGCCAATGTGTCAAAAGTACTAGTCATACTCTTAAAGTTCTTAGAAGTCCTACCATTTTTTGATTGAAGGTTTTTCATTAACACTTACACAAATTTAGATTGAAAACTAAGAAATTCACATATGTTGCCTTTAGTTTGTTACGTATTTTTCCTCAAAACATACAATGCATTGTCAGTAATATGTTAAATATTTCTGAAATATCTTAACAATTTTATAAAATAAAATACGTTGTCACATTTCTTCCCTGCACAAAAATAGCATCACTTTCAAATCATTATCGTTCTAAACAAAAACTCATTATTTGATTCAATTCACTTCATTTATCACCAATCCACTCAATAGAGCCACCAAAAAGGAGGCAATAAAGCAGATAGAAAGTGTCACCATCATCCATAATAAAGGACAGAGGTAGGAACACAAACCAGCTCCCCAAAACAGGTTTTGAGACAACGCGCACCCTATCGGCCTCCAGGGGCTGTGGCTACAGGAGCTGAGAAAGCAAGCAGCAGCACAATGGTAGCAGCAGAGTAGCGACTAGCAACTTACCCAGTTTCTCGCCTCTTGGTTCTAAACGCTCCCATTTGCTCGTGAAGGGATTGTTGTCCAAATCCTGAAGCAAACGGCTCAAAGGCTTAACAAAACAGTTACAACACAATCCACCGCACTATCCCACAGGCGATGGTCTCCAATGCCGCTGTCACTGCTGCTGTTGCTGCTGCTGCTGCCACCACATCATTATCCCCAACACCGGTTTTGTTAATTCTTGCCACTGGAAACACTCCAAAACCTACTACTGGAAGAAAAACTTTAAGATGTCCACTTCCACTGGGAAGAGCAACTACAACACAGGCTGTGGCTGAGGGAAAAAATGTCTTACCATGGAAGACAGAACTTTTTTAATTTTACAACTAAATGTCTATTTACAATTATTCAGTATTATTTTCTGAACAGAATAAACAGCAGCTCACTGATGCCTGTCAAAGAGAAAAGTTAAAGAGCACAATCATACATGCAAAAACATAATACAAAATCTTTTTACATATGAACAGTAACAATTTTTAAAACTCTGTTTTCAAAGACAACTGAATAAGACTCTTGAAAGTTAATAATACAATGAAACATGAAAAGATATTCTTCCCATTTTGGCTATTGAAAAAATTTGATAAATTCTTTATATCAGAGGTAATAAAAAGACAAACAAATTTAGAGCAAAAATAGAACTAAAGAGAACCCCATGTAATTCATATATTTTTTATTAAAACAATATTTTATGTAGCATAAAGAATTGAAAAAAATCCATAGAATCCATGTGATTTTTAAACAAAAGAAAATAAACTTGTCATATTATATAGAATGTTAAAAAATTAAAGGTTTTTTAATAAAACTCTACGTAAAAAAAATAAAAACGTAATCTACGTAAAAACAACAACAAGAGCAACATCTTCAAGCCTATCTTTCTTAGGAGCAAAATATATTTTAGAGCCCTTAGCCAATCACAAGAGGTATTTCATCAAGTCAATAAATATTTACTGTTCTCTACACACGAATAAATCTATTTTTAGAATTTCAGATAGTCTTCACTAAGAACTTTTCAACAGGAAACTAGTAAAGGATTCTACCTGAAATGAAAAAAGCATTAGAACAACAATATAAATATGTGATATTTCAATGTTTGTAACAAGAGAACAAATTATCACAATCAATTATCAGAATTGAATACAAAATACTGAAGTTCTATTCATTGATGAGGCAAAACACAAAATTAGCTTGTATTCAGAAAATATTTGGTGCTTTCAACTGTTAACTGAAATTTGTGTAATGAAAAGGCAACAAAATATTGATGTGTTTTATTTTTGAAGACAAATTCTTAATGTATCAGAAATTAAAAAAAAAAAAGTTAACGTTCTGACCAAATACCTCACCATTGAATGGTTTTATTGACAAATGCAATGTAAGAACACGTGCATATACTTATATACACTATTCTTGAAATGGTGGCAATATTTTCTGAACCTATTAAGTTTGTAAAAATTTCAAATTATCTACTGCAAGAAAAGTATTAATACAAAAAGGAAGGGATAATGAAAGATGTTCGACAGTACATATAGTAGATTATTGATGGCTTCATTGACAAATTACATATTTGTCTTATATATCACTCCCAGATGGAGTTCAGATTCGAAGTGGCACATTTCATCAACTATGTGCACTATAGTGCAAATAGATATGGTTAAAAAAAAACATGAATCATCAGTTAGACAAGCATAATTTAGGCAAAATAAGCCTTTCACAGTGGAGAATACATACTGTTTTGAGGCAAAATTGGCAAGATCAGGCAACTCAGAAATTAACAAATCAAGGTAATATCCAAAAGAATGCCCTGGAAATTACAAAATATTTGACACGTACTCCATTACAAAATCTTCTTTCTTCCAATTCTCATAACAAGATAAACATGTATCACAAGAAGTAATAGTTTTGGAGAACCTTAAGATTTATTTATTTTACACAACTAATAAAGTAGATAAATCATGATGAACAGTGTATTGGTACATTATCAATACAGATCAAAGCCATTATTAGGATCTTTCTGAATTTTCTGGGGTTCAGTTTTCATTAAAGTTGATTCCTCTTCAAGCATACATCAAAGCATAAAACTATATCAAATTTCAATTGTAAGTGATATTTTTCAATAGGGAATACTAATTACGCTAAAATCGGCACACTAAATATTAGCCATGCCAACTACTTATTGGAAATGGTTCTGAGAAGCACTTATTAACACTCCTTTCAAGACAGCTTGTATGTACCTTACACAAAATCATAAGAGTGTCTTTCAACCTATGTACATTATTAAAATCACAAAATCACAAAAGAGAAAATTCAGTTCATCTTTGGAAAACTCCAGTAATTTTAAAACAATTCTTTCATTCACTTCACTTCACATCACATCACATTAAGTCGCATTGTTCTAACAAATGTTTTGGTTAAAAGTGGACATTATAGACCAATATAAATTTCTACACTATGATACTTTATTTCTCCATTTACAAAATTACAGAACTAAACATACACCAACATATCTATTCGATTCTTTTCCACAAAGTAAGTCACTTTCAAAAGACGTCTTAGCTCGTTTATTAATTGATAGGTTCAAAAACAAGTTGTCAACACAGTGTCATAGCGCTAACAAAATTACATCTCCCATATTCCTCAAATGAATCTAAGAACCATAAATAAATTATGTTCTTCAACAATTTTGAAATGAAAATAAATTGCTACCTTTTAAATATTTAACTAAAGTAGTTCAAAACTTCATTTACAAATTTAAAACTAAAATTTCAAATTAAAACATTTTTTCCTGCTCAAAAATAATACATCCTATCACACTTTGTTTCTTCCCATTGCTTGTTACCTCAGAAGGAAATTAAAAGGATTTTTCTAAGAGCAAACAGATAATACCCTTTTATTGGTAGTAAAAAAAAGTTTAATGAAAATGTACATTTTAAGTAGTTAGTTTAGTTAAGAATTAAATTTTTTTTTCTAAGTAAAGATACCTAATTATTACAGAAGGGCGTAACAAAAACTACTATTTAACATTCTTATGTAATTAAATACCATAATTCTTATTATAAGATTATCAAATATCTATTGAAGTAACCAATTCTAAAGGGCAATTTGGTTTCCAAATGATCTTCCCAAGTAAATAATCTAGCTATAACTGTTCAAAGCAGCAGAAAAAAATTTAATTCAAATGGATTTTCACATCATAAAATTATAAAGAGACTTAAAAAAAGTAATGACAATATTGGTAATATTTCACTTGAAAATCCTACTAGATGATTCCAGAAACTTAAAATGGTTTGTGCATCGAAATTGATAAAAACACTGCTAACCTACCTCTATGTTTACAGGGGTAAAGGGTAGTAGCATTGTAGTATATGCCATGGAAGCTGAACTAGCTACTGCTATAGTTTTAATGCTTTGGAGTAAGAAATTCAAGAATCGAGTTTCAGGTTTTGATTTATTGCTCAGGCAGATTCATTGTGTGTACAATTTCATTGGAACAAGGTAGTATGGGAATTTAATTCATTAAACACTCTCAACATAAAAGAAAAGCATGTTAAATGCTTAAGTTTTCTTGATATCTGGCACATGAAGTTCATCTCAACTACTCACAAATAACACATCTGTACACTTAATTTTTTAATCAATATCATGGAAAAATTCGAGTTATTCGTGAATACATTAACAGTGCCAAAAATATACAGAAATACATATTACACACTCTGAACAGAAAAAAATAAACACAAATGTCATACTATATTTCAATTGAACTACTAGAGCAAAGGTAACTCTGTGAAAATGTAAAATCTAGTGATTGGTACCAAGTACAATTATATATCATACACAACAATTTACCTACACTTGAGGTACATAATGTTACAAATGTGCACACACAGAATGCGATACGTAAATTTACTAAACACACTAATTATACTGAGGCACAAATTTAACATTGTTTTGAATCACCTGTTTTTAATATATTTTTCCCCCAGCAAATCACTAGTAATCAAGAAATTAGTGTTTCCACTAAATGAGATTACCCCTCCCCCTCTTGTTGCAAGAAAAAACTATCAAAAACAAAAGATGAGGTATGAAAATCATGATTAGTAAGAAAAATCAATCAATAAATTTTTAATTTTAACGATTTAAGTTTAGCAAGCATTTGTGGAATGTTATGAAGCCTCTTCTAGCTACACTCCTGCAAATATTTCAATGATTTTATTCTTTTACAAAATCTCCAAAACTCACTTCATAGATTTTACATTTCCACTGTGTATTTAAACAGAGGAAAACATACTAAATTAGTTTCAAAAGGAAGTCTGCTGCGAACATGGATACAATCAGAAGAGTACTGATCAGAAACCAGATGGAGTTGACAAAAGTCACAATAAAATAACTGAAGACTGAATTACGAGAACTTTGGTTCATGATTCAAAACAACATGTTTAAAATTCATACTTCCATAACACTATACAGACACCTATATTCTCATGCTGTCCCTAAAAATAAATTTCATTTGCATAATAGCAAAAACAAAAAACACTGTATTCGCCACAAGATTAAACACAAAATATATATAAAAAAATGAAATTATTTCTTCAATACTAAATTTTGGTATATTTGTTCAAGAAGAAAGAAAACTATTGATGAAGGTACAACATACACAATGTACACATATATGCTTGTATCTGTTCTTGTACTGTAAATCCAAATATTTAAAATGGTTCATACATTATCAAATTTTGTGCTACATCTTAAAATAATATATCGAGAGTGGTTCATGGGTTAATAGAAGCAGTATTTTAAACAAAATGTTTCCCTGAACTAAAGTGACAGGAGTTTCAAAGTATTTGAGTTTTCACATTCAAGCACCATTTATTCATATACTTTCCCATCAAATTTCATAGTTCACTTAACTATAAGCAATCTTGGTAATCTCCAATATTAACATACAATAAATAAGAAAACTATAATTTCATTATAATAAGTCCTAACTTACAAATTTCACATACAATTTTTTATTTATTCATTAAGAACAAATAAAAATGTATGTTGCATGTAATAAATTTGTATTTAAGCAACACAGAAGTCGGTTCACCATACTTTTTCAAATAAAAATATCTCAGTTCTTATGTACCTACAATAATAACGAACTGACTGACTGAATACTGCAAAAAGGTTTCTAAATTATTTTTTGCTGCAATAAATACATTTCTTACATACCTGCCAACATTTGTCAAAAGTATCTCACTATACGAACATAATTTTCTTGACAATTTAGTAGTTTGCTTCAATAGATGAAAATGATCATGGATGGAGGTGGGAAAAAAATAAAATTTACTGGAGCACAGAAAACTCAAGCCTTCACCAATAAATATCATTAAGCAACCTCAAATACTAATATGTATCTCATAAGTCATGAGATACAAAGGAAACAATTGATATGAATAGGAATTTACATAAATGAGAATTTCAAACAAATCCAGTACTATTTTTTGAAGAAATAAATTTGCCTATTTACAAAAAAAAAATGGTATACTTGTGAAAGCAATTAGATTATAATGAAACAAACTGAAAATGAAATTTTGCAGACGTAGTAAAAATCCATCAAATTTGGGAATGGAGAATTAAATTAAACTTACTTTAAATATCAATGAAATCCTAATACTTATAACACAACTATTTCCACGTTTACTAAATATGATGTGGAAGAGCATTTTCTTCACATGCTCATCTGAGACATTCAAAAAGAAGTCAAAAACAAAAGAACACAAGATTCCACTCTCGATTCTTAAACATACAAAAATGTGTGACAAATTTGACAACAATGAAATTTTTAATATTGTAATTAAAATAACGCAAATTTGAACTAATTTCTTTGAACAAAAACACCTAAAAACATTGCAATTCACTTCTGTGCAATGCTTCTCACATATACCCAAAAACATTAAAACAAAGAATCTATTTTGAATTGTGTAAAAAAGAATAATACAACAAAAACAAAATGACCTAAATTACCACAAAAGGCTGTCACAGCATACACAGGACTAACTAACTTTCGTTGACAGAAGCACTCCATGAGTAAAGATCAAGGAACTGCAACACAGACAACAGATTTTGGGCAACCCTCAAAAATAAAAATAATTTCACATTGATGTAAAAATTTTATGAATTGACTTGAAAGATCATACATTCCTATATTAATTCCTCTTATATTTAAAGATTTTTAATTGATTTTCACCAGGATCAATGAAAAATTGAATAAATCATTAATTTTTGTACAAAAGAATTTTCTTCATTCACCATTATCTCACTGAATGGAGAAAAAAGAAGAAAAAAAGAAAAGAAAGAATAACAAAAAGAGCAGAATAAAGATTTTAAAAAAATATATATATTTCATAATTATTTATCAATATCTAATATTGCTTCAGAAGTCTCATGAACTGTACACCTTTTATCCAACTACATTTCATGACAAAAGTAAAACGGTCAGTTTTGCAATCAGAAGATCGTTTATAGTGTAGAATAGTAGTCACCTTAAAAAATTTATAAACTCGGAACTATAACTTTGTACAATTACTTAGGAATGAATAATCAACTTCATTTTACTTAGCAGAAGTTCATTGCAATCTCATTTCTGTGGCCATTAATGTAAGTTCTTTAGTCCTTTGACCTTCAGATTTGTTGCAATAATATTTATAAGAAATAAGAATAATAATAATAATAAAAAAAATAAAATAAAAATAAAATAAAACTTAGTATTTTTCAAAATTGATTTTAATAATGGGCTGATATCTTTTGCAAATTAACTCGAGATTAACTCTTGTCCAAAAAATTGTATGGCCTTTCAGTTACCTCGTAAATATCAGCTTCTTAAATTAATATCCATCAGAAATTCTAATACATTTCAGAGACATTATATTTACAAACATAAAAATTAAAGCAGAATAAAATCTATTCCCTCATGTATCAAACTATTTTCCACAGCATGAATATCTTAGTTCATGACTCAAACCAGATAGGAGTTGAATTCTAGTCCAATTAACAAATCTTCAAACTGGAACTAGACCAACTCAATACAGCACGAACATTCTTCTAAAATGAAGGAATGGGAATAACAAAACACAAAAATTCTGTGTTTATATTTTTCCCCCATGAAATAGATTAGAATGACGCATCACAATTCCACTGACCCAGAGAAACAAACGTGAATACTTCTTGAGCATACACTGCAAAAAGAAACTCTGAACAAATGAGAAGATAAGATGAAGCGATTACTATGAAATTTCTTTCAAAATCCATAATTGGGCCAAATATACCTATAGATGAAATGTCTTGATTTAACTGGAACTGTATGAGCTGAAGCTCTTATTACAGCAAATTCAACAATTTTGCAGACTCAATAATCAGCCAAAACATCAATGTGTTTTAAATACTAGAGATTTTTGAATGGTAAAATGATTCCCTAAGTTCTTGTTAATGAAGAACTATGAAATATAGAAACTAAGCAAATCAAAGTTACAGATTGTGAACATTCAAATTCATGATTGTAGTTCATGGATTGAATATCCAATTTCATGTTATTAATATATTCAAAGAATTACACAACATTCTGTAACAAGGTAAAAACACTAGATTGTGACTGAAATAAATGATTAAAAATCACATTCCTAATTTCCAGTTAATTTATGCTAGGCTAGTTTTCATTAAATTACTGGGATATAATAGTATTTTCCTTGAATACAATCATTTGAGCAAGTAATATACACAAATTAATCTATTTCCTTAGAGAGATCAATCAAGACCACATAATAATTTGCTAAACTGGACTAGGCAAATGCCAATTTGAAGTAATAATATCAATGAGTTCAGAAGACTAACCCAAGAGACACTTACAAGACCATTTGTAGCATGACTACACAATTTACACCCATACACACAATATATTAACTACAAAAGAATACTGTACTGAAAAGAACATATGATCATAAAACAGTCAACGATGCCAAAAGAAACTCCTGTACACTTTGCAACTAAAAGGAGAAATAAGTAGTGTAAAGTAAAACTCATTTCAGTCTATATTTTAAAATAATTTGCATAAATTGGGGAATATCATATTCTTTACATCAACATTTTCGAACTACACTAATCACTAAAACGTAAATTCAAACTTTAAGGTGCAATTTCTAAAAAAAATATCTTTGTAGGCCATTTATGATAAACATATTATAACTTGTTTTATGTAACACATAGAAGCCTAGTAACAGAAGACTCTTATCTAACATAAAACACAAAAACAATATTCAAACGAAAGTTTACATTTCACTGGATTTCACAGTCTTTAAAATGGCAGGTCTTTTCTAATCAGCGTTTCAAAACAAGCAAGATGTTCAAAAGATAAAATTGTCATCAAAATCCGGCAAGTTTCTTTTGAATAGTATCACACTGAAACAGTCTGTAGGCATTTTCTTTTTTATAACAATGAACCTAAAACACATTAAACATTTTTCAACCTGCCTTGAACTGTAGTCCAGCAGGATGGCACTATGCAGCAGAGCTGCATAGACGTTATACAATTGTGCATAAATGCTCACTTCACCAGAGCATTCTCTTTGCGGCGTGTTTACTCTTTCTCTCTCTCTCACTCTCTCTATGAAGTTACACGGGCTCTTCCAGGCTTACCTCATCTCCCTCCTGCCCCTCGCCAGGTAACACTTCACCAATCGCTATCCCGTCTTCTGCTTTCACCTCATCTTCTGGGCATTCTTCTACAGTGGTGTCCTCCATTTCAACCTGTCAAATAGAGAAACAAACAGTGTCACAGCATTTCTAGTCATAACGTTTAAAGAAAACCCTCACTCTCAGTAGCTTTTGTTTTTTGAAAATGTCAGGTCAAAACATGAGCATTCATCCGAATTCAGAATTTTGTGAGAGCACTTCCGGTTGTGGACTTAGAATTACAACAGAAAGACAAAGGGTTATATAAAGCAAATTGATATTTTGGATATATTCTGATGAAATATATGAACATTACTTGTTCCTGAAGGCCAGGAAACAATACCTGTACACAATCTGTGAGCCATCTTACCCCTATATAACTATTAAAAACATTCTAAATACCAATATTTGCCTTGATGCTATAGTGGCAGTGGAAGCAAGCTTCAAAGGACCTATCAGCCAGAGGGGGTGGCCTGGGCTGTTAAAATGAACATGAAAGCAGAGGATGACAGTGTACATGCTAGTGGTTAAACCAATTTTCAAACAAGCCCAATGATGGAGGTTGATATTGGGAGAAACAAACAAAGTGTGCATCAAAACTAAGGTCTGTACACATCATTTCTGTTTGGGATCTTCTTACTAGTATTTATGTGAAATGTGAAATACAGATGGTAATACCAAAAACAAATGCAATTAAACCCCAACAAGAATTGATATGCGTCGTTTGAATTTTCCTGCAAAATCTTTTAAGTAACGGTATGTTCCCACTGAATTGAAATAGGTGAAAGAGGGAGGGGGAGAGGGGGGGGAGAGGGCAGGGGAAGACGCAGAGGGAGGGGGATGAGAGAGGAGGGGGCAGAGGAGAGGAGGGGAGAGAGAGGGAGGGGAGAGAGAGGGAGTCGGGAAGCAGAGAGGAGGAGGAGAGAGAGGGAGGCGGGGAGAGAGGGAGGGCCGGGAGAGAGGAGGGGAGAGAGAGGAGAGGAGGGAGAGGGAGGAGCGCGCAGAGGGCAGGAGGGGGAAGAGAGCGAGGGCCGAGAGGGAGGGAGGGGGAGAGGGAGGGAGGGGGAGAGGGAGGAGGGAGACGGAGGGAGGCGGCGAGAGGGAGGGAGGAGAGGGAACAAACACCCAACCAGGAGAGGGGAGAGGGGGAGGGGGAGAGGGAGGGAGGAGGGAGGCGAGACAGAATAGGAGGGAACGAGAGGAAGAGGGGGGCGAAGAGGGAGGAGAGGGGAAGGGAGGGAGAGGGAGAGAGGGAGCGGAAGAGGAGGAGAGGAGAGGAGGAGGGGAGAGGGCCAGGGAGGGAGAGGGAAGGAAGAGGGAGAGGCGAGGCGAGGAGAGGAGAGAGGAGGGAGAGGGGGAGGGGAGAGAGGGGGAGGGGGAGAGGAGGAGAGGGGGAGAGGAGGAGGGGGAGAGGGAGGGAGGGGGAGAGAGGGAGGAATAGATTCTTTTTCAGAGTTTAGCAAAAAATATCATCAACAATCAAGTGACCAGTAGCATGCGAAGAGTAATACATTGCAGTAGCAAAGTATTGCCAGGTCCACTAGTTTATTATGTTTTCTATTCAAGGTCAAAAGCAGAAAAACTAGGTGCGATATTCAACATGGAGAACTATATTCTCTTATTTTCTTAAATTCTGGTATTCCTACTTGAATCCATACACATGTTAAATTTTGAATACAGATAAAAACAAAACATTTGTTAGCCAATCCAGTGGCCGAGATCGCTAAGGCAGTAGTGCCGATCGCCCCCTATCATCATCATATGGTGTCACCCTCAGTTACCATACCGTTACAAGTAATAGTGGTGGGTAATCACCTAAAAATTGATGCGACTTAAAAAAAAAGTTCTTCAATTGGTAATGAGAATTTGGGGAAAATTTCCTAAGGAGTGAAATTGTAAGGAGCATTGAGCATTATGACAAGGAGTAATATGTAATTCGTGAGAAAACTAGTAGATTTGAAGAATTTTACATTATAGTATTTAATAATTACTATTATATATTTTTCAAACTATTTGCATTTCCTCACCAAAGCTCAAAGTGTTACTGCATTGTAAAATGTATATCCCAAATAAACTGTAGTGTCTATTGTCTGTGTCTATTGTAGCTTTAAAGCAGTGCTGGCAACTAAGATGCTGAAAACAGCAGCTGCCAGTGAATCATATTATTTATTAATTTTTCATTATTTTGGTTTCTTACATACAGTTTACACAGAATATATTAAGGCTAAAAATGCTTTGAATATATTCATGAATACACTGAATTCAATACCAGAAATGTGTTTTATTCAAATTTTGATTAAAAAATCTATTTTTTACACTTTGATAGGATAAAATGATATTTGAAGTGTAAGAAAGGCAGAAATTAAGACACTATATTACATAATGATAACTATATAATATTGTGAAATAGTATGTACTTCTGTAGCACCTCTAGTTTTAATGTGAAAGAGAAATTCAGGCATTTGCAACTCTTCCAGTTTGAAATTGCACATTGCATCCATTACACGATAAATGCATACTTAGTTGTAATTTAACAAAACATTTCAAGAAACATCTGATGGAAGCTCTTGTGAAATTATGCTGCCATCTATTGTGATCCCCGACTTAGTAACAAAGTTGTTGGGCATGTTGCATCTTGCGACTTCACTGCATACATCACTTTTGCTGACCACTAGTGTAATTGAAAATAAAACTTGTTTCTGAAAGGTAGCTGGGAATATGCAACAAATATTCTAACTAAAGCTGCCCACATAGCAACAATGGTCTTAGCCAAAGTTGGCAAAGGCTCGGGAAAGGCCTGGCAAAGGCCTGGCAAAGGCTCTGGCTTTTTAGCAGTTCCAAAGCAGCAACGAGATACACCACAGATATAATTTATCCCTTTTCATGTTCAATAAATGACTCTAATAAATAAATAAATAAATAAATAGCTTAGCAACACAGGTAACTTTAGCGTGTTTATAATAATGAAGTAGTGATACTTTTGCTGTAAATATGTTTCCATGGATTTATGGAAAATGTTTATTTTCCCATTAACAACTACATTAGGAAGACTCCATGATATACAAATCAACATGCAATTAATATTTATGGACAACAAACCTGATTCTTGTAATACCAATAAAGAAATGAGTTTTACCTCAGTGATCGCTACCGACTGAAGAAGTGAACGGACATCTACTCTGAGGTAGTGTTTCGGTGTTTCTTCCCAGTTCTTTATAATATCTAAAATGTCTTTTTCTGAGCGGTTGTGAATGTTCCGCTTTGTGCAAGCACTTGCATCCATATCCATTTCACAGATATACACCTGCGAACAAAGAAAAGACCTGTGTAAAGCACATCACAATCACCAGAATCTACAAAAGTACAAGTAGGAGGTAAGAAGAAGTAAGAAGTAGAAGTAGAAGAAGTAGAAGTAGAAGTAGAAGAAGAACAAAGAAGTAGAAGAAGAAGGAGAAAGATGAAGAAAAAGTAGAAGTAGAAGATGAAGATGAAGAAGATGAAGAAAAAGTAGAAGTAGAAGATGAATAAGAAGTAGTAGAAGTAGAAGTAGAAGTTGAAGAAGATGAAGAAGAAGATGAAAAAGAAGAAATCTCATCATGGGATGGTCACTTTCTGCATAACATTTGTTTGATGAACTTCAATTTAAAAAACTACTAATATATAAGAGTGACATCAATGGGTTTTTCAAGGACTTCAGCTGATGCACAAATATTCTACATCTAGAGAAATCAAATAAGCTATAGTACAAACAGTATTAGCCCAGAACGCTATCTTCTAAAATGCAACTTGGGCGAAAAGAACTTGTCGCAATATTTATAGAATATCTTTGAAAGGCTGGATCTGTTTAACATCTCAATAAAGCAACACTCCTTGCTCAAATTTCTTGAAGACACAAAATAACACTAATAAGTGCACAATTATAGTAGAAATGCCCATTTCTTGAAAAATTCACATATCTTTCAATCACAATAGAAAATATTTCAAGAAACATACTGAAATATTTTAGAAGACATCTTACCTGGAAGCCTTTCTGCTTCGCAAAACTCCACATCTCTTCAAAATGTTTTACTTTATCATTTATGCAATCCACAATGATAAAAGGAAAATATCCATCAAGCACAGTCTTGCGGAAAGTTTTCACTAATGAACTACGATAGTGTTTATCCATTCCAGCTTCATACTCATACTCCATAACCTGAAACATTAAGTGAGCATAAATCAGTACAATTAACAGATATTATTAACGATGTTGTACCGGCAATAACATGTGAGAACAAAGCAAGAGGTCATGCCAGATAAACAAATCAGTAAAAGTCTTAAATGAACTGAAACATGAAAAACAGGATTAAAAAGTATGTATCCACAATCTCTTAAGAATAGTTTTGTCTTTTTTTTCATTATTATTTAAGATTAGACCTACATAGAAGACAAATTTTAGAGAGGAGCTAGTGAGGAGGAGAGTAAGTTAGCAAGAGTTCCACCTTTTCTCAGAATAACTTCAGCACACTACTGGCCTTACCTTAGAAGTAATTTTACGGCCAGTCTCAGGATCTTTGTCTTCTTTTTCCATTTCAACCATGAAATAATCATCAAGGCAAAGAATTCTGGGAGCAGAACCTCCCATCTCTACTTCTTTGTCCTAGAGAAAAAAAAAAGAAATTAGTAGTCATGCACAGTATAAAAATTTTAACATAACTGAATGAAAAAGATTAATTCCCAAAACAATGATAGAAGCTGAGGCAGCTAATTGTCACATATAATTAAAGCTCTTGAGTGCCGTGTTGTACCCATTACCACCATGTAAAGAAAGGCAAGAATGCCCATATGAAGTAAGTGCATTATCAGTGGAAAAAAGGTTGAAGCAGTGAATTTAAGTTTCTTCAATTAACTAGCAAAGTCAAGCAAAATTTATATTAGGCAGCTGCAGAGGGCCAAAGACCAAGTTTGAATATCAAAGAAAAATATAAAAAGAAAAAAACAAGCTAAAATGAAAATACTTCCTCTTAGTTGTCTAATGCTGACATTTCCAATTTTCAAGTAATTGTCTAATAATATTCCCAACAAATGCATATAATATTTACTAGTCAGATTCTCTAGAGGCAGTATTACAGATGAATAATTCTTCTACACATAACATACCTTAATGAGTTTTGCCACAAATGTCTTCCCAGAACCTGGTGGCCCTCTCAGAATCATCACGAGGCGGGTAGGTCGAGATGCACGGCCCGGGGGACACAGCAGGTCTTCTATGAGCACAGCACGAGCAGGAGGCTCATTGGATACCGATGCAAACGTTGGTGGTGGTGGTGCATCAGGCGGGGGTGGAAAACTGCACAAACACACACAATCCATCCCTAAAGTTACATTATTATGTTCAGAATTAATAAACAATGAAATCTCATTGGAACCTTGCCCGTTATAACATTTTCATACAAATCATGTCTGTACTTTGGAACCCTGGACCCAATTCAACTTACTCTTTACATGTTTAAAGTTTGTCTGTAACATGTGCCACAATTCACTTGTTTTCCAGTGTAGCAAACATCTTTAATGTGTCATGTAAGATAATTAATGGTATTTACAGATAGATTTATTAGAACCAGAATCAGAGAAATATTTTCTAGTGTCTCTGCCATCTTCAGTCAGTATGTTTTTAATCCGTTACAACACATTTCATTGAATCTGATACAATGAGGATGCTTTTTATTTGTTTGTCAGGTTTTGTCTTGTTTTACAGTTAATTTGCATTATTTTTAGTATTTGTGTTTTATTTGTGCGCAATCTTGTTTTTACTCCGTAACTATTTATAATTAAATTAATTTATCTCGAATGTGTTTATGTGTTCATTAGTTTCTATATTCTAGCAATAGGGATTTTCATGATGCCAAGGCAGTGTGTCTAATTGTGCAGAAGTAATTTCTGCAATAACTGACCTTGAAAAGCAAATTAAAGGAATTCACCAGCGAAACAATGAACAGTATACTTTAAAAATCACAAGAATTTTTTCTTAAGTTATGAAGAAACTTCTGCTTATCAGTAACTAGCATTTTTCTTTACAAATTCTTGTCAATTTATTTACAAATTGCTATAGTGGGTGAGAATAAGTAATCTATGAAATGTTAGTGTCTTGAAAAAACAATTACATGTCTCAAAAATTAATACTTTTTGTCATTATCCACCAGATTTACTTGTTGCCATGAGCTGGTATTTCAGGGGCTTGCTCATTATAATTGGAAAAAAACAACCAACAAACCATGACCACTAGCACACCTCAGCAATTTTCTTTTTAATGTCAAAAGAAAAATATCTTGGTAAAAAAATTAATCTAAGATATTAGAAAAGCAAGCATAAATTCTTCAGTACAATTGATTATAATGATCATAAAACACATGCAAAGAAAGCTCATAAAATGATGAAACAACACTGACCTGGGTCTTTAAATGTTGTAACATGGCAAAAATTAGCTATATACATAAATATTCAAAAATGTCTATAAGTACTTGATTCCAAAAATATCATATTACTAACAAGCAAGCCATTTTGAATGCAATTTTAAACCAAAACTGGTTGGCGACAACACAAATGGAAAGCAGTACGAGTACTGAAATCATATAGTTTTCTTTGAATTACTGTTATTTACTTACTTATTAACTTTTATTGTTTATATGTTAGTATGGAAAGAAATGGAGAAATCAAAATCAGAAAATTAAAAAATAGTAATCAAAATCACTAAAAAAGTCGATATAACGCAAAAACATTTTAAAGGAAAGTGACAACAAAACATCTGTATATGGTACATCGAAAATGCCATACAACAACAAATTCTATAAAATGCTTGCAAACTATTTCAAAACAAAATGTCAAAAGAGCATTTACTGCCAACGCATGTGCTTTGCAAAATATTTTTGATGTTTTACAACTTGGTAAAGATCTATTAAATACTGATCTACAATATGGTTTCACCACTGCTAATGTTGGACTGATATTGCTATCTGTGAAATATCTAGCACGAGGGAAGAAATCAACAGGATTTGGCAGTTCTATTGATGCTAGGAGCAAGAAAAACTTCACAAGCTTATCCTACATCACCTCCCACTTACTTGTTGTCTGCTGGTCGCTCTTGCTGGCGTTCTTGCTGAGAGCGGTTGCTTCCACTCCAATCATTGTCTGCATCACGGTGATCTCCGGAGCGGTGGTCCCGGTGGTCCCGGTGGTCGCGGTCACGCCGACCTCTCCCCCATTGGTCCCCTGGCCCCGAGCGACCTCTACACACACAAGCAGGGCAAACATGCAAGGCACGTGCAGGTCAGAGCACACTTCAGGCAACAGGGACAGGCACATTCAACCTTAATGCGTCACAGCTAGTGGACTTGAAGTCAAGCTAAACTTAAGTTTTATTAGGTAATGAAATTCACAACAATGTAGAAGAAATTGGAAGTTGAGATCACGGGATTTGGTCAGAGTACATTAAAACATTAAAGCGTTGAGTTTACTAACTTCCGAAACATTGACAAAGTCTATGATTTAAGGTTTAATTTACTCTGGCCAAATCCCAAGACTGCAACTTCCAAGTAGTATTATGCTGAATAAAGACCATGTCTTTTCTGTTGAAGTATTGAATAAAAAAGAATCTTAAAGATATCTTCAAATTTCAGTTACAATGTTTCAAGTCTGGCCAAACACGAGAAAAAGAAATTTTAAGGAAAAGAGAGATTCAGATTCATTAGCTTTAAAGTGGTTAGAACAGATTTTTTTTAATCCTCTATATTCATGTTTTTAACACATATTTACTTTCATAAGTTCTAGCGGTATTCTTTCACCTAAAGGATATTTATTTCTGAAGTGTTTTTTTCAGTTGTTTAACACATTATGATAATATTTCAAGTACCTGAAAGTTCTAAACATATTCCACAAGTCTGAATATTTTATAAGCATATACTGATTTACATCTTCCTACAGTCTATGCCCTCTCCCTTTCAAACTTAAATACTGTCCTTCAATTCAGCAATATTTTTTCTTATTTTTTTCCCTTTTAGAAATGTGCACATGAAGCATCCTTACTTCAATTTTTAAAAGGCTCAAAATTAAATTAGTTGTCCAACAATAGCAGATTCATTCTCACATTATGTGTAATGGTCATTTAATAATATAATAGTACTTGAACCCAGTGGTGGCTCATGCAGGTTGTAGCATGTTTGCTCTAAATCCGAAAAAGTTGCCATTGCACAAGTATATATGAATTATACATAATAAGGACATTTGTGTTTTTCATTATTACTCTCGTAAGTCATAATCACATCACAATTTTCTCATCTTAGCTGCAAATTAGATACAAGAAATTAAACCGTTTGTTTACTGCGAGCCTAAGTTTTTACACTGCCTTGCTACACCTTCGACTTCAACGTTGGAAATAGACAAAGATACACCAAGGGCTGTCAGGGACATGGAGATGGGGATTTGCGGAGAGGATGTCTTAATGTTGTTTGTCAACCATACCAGGTGAGTCGCTGCAATATTTCCAACGCATTTGACAGATAGCAAAGTAGTAGTTTCAACATCCCCGCTAGGTGTCTCTGAATCTTTCCTGCATTTTGTAAACTGTGAAGATATTATATCACATGAGAATCATACTTTAGTTTTTTTGTAAGTCTCCACAAACTGAATTTCTATATTATATTTGTAATTTTGAACAAAGGAATACGCAAAAGCATGTAATCACAAGGCTTGACCATGAATGGATCTTGCATCTTGCCCATGGAAGTTGGCAGTATTACATCTCTTGTTGAGGCTGACGAGACAGAAATAGATTCTATCTTCCTCGGACACAGTGTGTACATAACTGTGCAATACAATGGCAGAAGATGGAGTATCAGCTTTTGCCATCGCACGTGACTTCCTTACCCAAATAGCAGACTTTAATGACAGAGTTATAACAAAATTTACTCTGAGCAAGGAAACACATGCCAACGTCTTTTACAAATAGATAAGAGCACATGTTCATTATTTATATTGAAAACTAATGCTGTGGAAATGAGAATGTCTCGAAGAAAAATGTGAAATTATAACTACAGTGTATTTCTGAAATGTACTTATAAATTCATTGTATACCAGTCTCAGCATCATTTCCCCCCACCCTCCCACTTAATAGCATTCTGTAAACCACCAACTTTTGAGGGCACGAGCCACCACTGCCAAGTGCCCAAGGAACAAAATTTGTTTTCCAGACTCAAACCTATGAACTTAGGTTTAGTAAGTATGGAATACTCATTATCACTGCACCAGCAACTTCAGAGATACAACAACCTTCCCAATGCTCTAAAAACAACGTTTAACACTGGCATTTGCATTTTCGAAAACTCCATTTTTTTTAAATGTCATTATTTCAAGATCTAATTATCACTAAACAGATTTCATTAATAAACAAAAATCAATATAGCAGTAGGCTAAGAAAAACCTTCAGTATTGTAGTTGAAGGAAAACACTGAAAAAAATTTCTACTTCTACAAGTTTTAAAAATAGAGAAAGTTCAATGAAAACGGGACATGTGCCGTTTTTCTTAGTGTACACTGCTGTATCTGAGAGAAAGAAAGAAAGAAAGAAAGAAAGAAAGAAAGAAAGCGAAATGAAATTGAGAGAAAATTTTGAAAATGTTCTGGAGGCTTTATGTAAAGTATTTTCAAAAGTAGCCAGATCAATCGAGGAACAGCAATTTTTGTGAAAATCCTGTCCATGGCTTAGCTACTGTGTTCTGTTATGTTCTGCTGCATTGTTCAGATGCCATTTAGCCAGTTTTTGGATCTGTCAAGAACCTATAAAACATGGATTTTGACTACACAAGTGATAGAAGAGTTTACTACATATGGGAACAAGAATTATCCACCTTTATGGTGTCAGGGACCTACAACACAAAGTTTTTCTGTAGCATTATAGAACTTTCTCTACACATTGGAAGTAGTAGGCAAGAATGTAAAAATTAAGTGTAGTTTCAATTTTTCAATTTTTGAAAGTTATTTATAGATTTCTTTGACTTCCAGTTACAAATACAAAAATGTCAAAGGTATATCTTTCTTTCCTTTCTAATCTTGTTAAAGAAATAAGAATGCTATCTGTTAAACATTGATGTAATGTAAGGAGTAATGACTATGTCCTGATAATGAGATTTAAGGGCATGCCATTAAAGAACATGCATGCTACTGCTTGTAAACAAAGGAACAAGTTTTAACAGCTGTCTACAAATTTGATAATTAACCCTTTCACTGATAATCGTTGCATGTTGTTCGTACACCTGCTTTCCTGACTCATTGTGGAGTCTGTGATACAGAGAACTTTGTGCGGTTGCACAGTACTGTCAGCATCCAGAACTGTTAAAATTGTTCCTAGCTCCATTTATTTTTAAAGAGAACCAGCATGTAAAGAAATTCAGCTTAGACTACTAAAAACGAATTGTTTTGTTAGAGATTATCAGAAAAACACAATGCGAAACTGTGGAGTGCATTGCAGTAAAGTGAATAGAATGCAAGCAACATCAACTTCTGATCTAGACCCCAAATGTACTCCCAGAAATACAATATGCACTCTTGTAGAAATGCCAGGAACCAAGCACCCATGAAAACATATGTTTATGTCAGAATATGGCGTCACTGTAAGCCCAGGATGTGCAAACATTCACAGCCCATGAGGCATGGATCCAGCTGGTCATACATGCATGCTCATAATAGTGAAAGGGTTAATTCTCTCCATCCTAGTGCAGAATCGCAAATTAATCTCAGTTCAAGGAGAATGTTTTCAATGCAAAAGCAACCAGTTCACAAGAGCATGCAACAGCACAACACTGTCTGTTTCAAGCTCGACTACCCGTAACAGATAAATGGTCAATGCAAAACGAACTCCCTACATAACAAATGATAACTTAAAAAAAAAAAATTTCACCTTTTTGCTTCCAAAATGAAATCAATCAACATATCGTGGAAAAAGTTATAATAGTCAATAAGATTTGCAAGCCGATCTTCTTAAAACGAATTACCTATTAATTTTAAGTACTATGCACCGGAAACTCACTACATTACATACAACGTAAAGTACGATAAAAAATTAGATCCTCTGATTTCAAGCAAAGTTTTTTTAACTGAGAACAAAGTGAAATACTAACAATTAAACTAAAAATTTCAGAAGAGAACAAAAATAACAAAACCTGACGAAAAGTAATAATTTCTTCTTGACTCAAACTAGGATCACTTACTATAGACTACTGAATTAAGATCTCTCATGCCAAGACAAGACTGCAAGGCAATACAAAAGCAAATATGCAACTGTCAAGATACCTGTCTCCATCATCTCCCCAGCGTCCCTTGTCTTCTCGGTCACGATCACGATCTCGGTCTCTATCTCTTTCCCTGTCTCTGTCACGATCTCGGTCTCTGTTCGAATCCATATCTGACCGACCTCTGTCTCGGTCCCGATCACGTTCCCATCTTCCTGGTTCTCGTTTGCCAAATTCTGGAAAAGAGATAGAGATACATATAACTACATTAATGAAAAATTAAGAAAATAAAGAGTTGTAAGCAAAGATTGAAACACTAACCTTATCAAGAATAAACCCATAAGGCAATTAACTGATTACTTTGTGGTGAATGCACCAATTTCAGATTGATGGTCAAAAAATGCTTTTGATGAAGAAAAGGAATAAGGCACAGTCTCAACTAACATCAGTTTAGAACAGTAATAAAATTAAAAACAAAAGTGAACATCACCTCCCTGATAGTGTGTGTAATAACTAAAAAGAAGAAAAAGAAAGAAAAAAGAAACAAAAAGAAAGCTTAACCAACAACTAAGGGTAATGGAAGATAAATTATGTCAAAAGCACTTTTTGCCACTTTATGGTTGCCAATAAAGTTTAAACAAGGGAGAATACATGCAAGGCTTTATATCTAATGATGTAACATGATATTTCCAGATGGAACGAGTCCACATGCACCAACCCCCAAAATGTGGTTTCAAATGATGACATTCAACAGTCTTGCAGTTGTGCCACTGATAACCTTTGCACTCACGGCACTTCCTCTTGGTGCTTTCACTGCTCTCACCATAATTGAATTTGATAATAATACATAACACTATTACGGAAACAACAAAGAATTTAGTATCTATAAATAAAATGTAATGAATTTTGTTTCTTGTGGTTTGAATGGTTTGGTTACTACAAAGCAAATGAAATCAACACTCTTGAAACACGTTTACAGCCTCATTCTTGATGACAATTATGAAAATAACAAACAACCCACCTCGATCATGATCCCATCCTCCTCCTCCTCCTCCACCCCCACCAGGGCCTCCTCCACCACGGCCCCACTCACGGTCTCCTCTGTGGAACCGGTCATCTCTGTCTCTGTTTCCTCTGAAGTTTGGAGGTGGTTCATCCCGTCGCCATGGTTCTGAAGGCCTAGGTGGAGGGGGTCCTCCTGTAGAATGCAAAGAAGCAAGTATTACCCTCACAAAACTATGTTTCTCACAGATATTTAGAGGTTGCACTAGCAGTCACATCCTTGAGTGAGGAGCAGTGAAAGCAAGTTATTTTTCACTTTAGCAAACTGTCAACATATAGCAGTTTGACACATACAGGGGATGCAGCAAGATAACCAAATATATTGAAGACCTTGAAATGCTAATTTCTCTAAAGCTAAAGAAGAACAAAACAGAGTGGAATCTCATTAAATTTTTTTTCTATGGACCAAATGTTGAATGTTGCAAGTCCTATCATGAATGCAAAATTTGTCATTTTCAGGTTTTCCATCTTCTGAACACTAAAATTGGTAAAAGAAATAAATTTAAGTGCAAAGGACACACAAAAACATATGAGAAACTAATTTAATTGCAAATAATAATTGAATGAAAATAAAATTATATGTAAATAATAAACTAACACTAAAAATAATGCAAATAAAAAAGAGTAGTCCTTGGTCTATCAAATTCAAAGAAATGCATGATATCACGATAAAACAAAAAGCTGGCAGAGACACAGTAGAATATACTTTCTCTGGCTCAGGGTCTGTAATTAACTAGACTGACAAACCCTGTACCCTGTCTGAAAGTCACTTCAAAATTTCAATACCATAAAGAAAGTTGGAAACAACACCCACAGAAGACTGCACTGCTACACTGAAAAACGAATTTAGAAACAATTGATCAACAAACTTTATTTGTTTAAGTGGGATTGGTATACGTGGAATTGAGTAATTTAACAGAATTAGAACTCAAGTTTAAAATACGGAAATGCTATGCAGGAACATGTGGTAATGTATGTGCTAATGAGATTCCACCGAATTCTGTTACGTGCTAGATGTCCATGTAAGTCACAAGGGTGAACCGCTTCAAGTACCTCCAGTGTACATGGCTACAACAAATTAAACAAGTTTGTTCTGAAGTGAAGTAACACCAATGTCACGACTTTCATTAGAAGTGCTGAGGCGTTTTCTGTATGAATGTATTATAAATTACTCCCTCTCATTCACTAATTTCTAGAAAAGTAATTGTGCTTCTACCAACAAATTCAAAGCTGTCACAATTTTTTAAAAAAAAGTGTTAATAAGATAACATGCAAAATGCGCCCACCAATAGTACATGCAGTTTGATCCTTTTAAACAACAAACACTGTAATAATCTTGGAATATGACAATAAGCAACATGCTTTTCCTATCTGGATCCTTTTCAAAATTGATCATGCCACAATTTACTAAATTATTCTATCTACAGATAGTTGTAGTTTGGTACTGATTTTGTCTGCCATTAATCATATACCAATCTAAATTTCGGGAGCTACGTTTGATTTTTTTTTTTTTATAAATATTTTTATATAGTTTCAACAACTCATATGGGTAAAATAAAAAAAGAAGAAAAATAATAAAAAGAAAAGACAGAGGTAAATGAAAACCAGTTTCCTTAATGCACACCTTAGCCTGAGGAATACAGCTGCCTCTTCACAGAAAACAGAATTTGCAGTGAAATCTCAAAGAATAAGCTTTATTATTAACAACTGGCTAATATTTCAAACTTGCAATCTATCTTCAGAAACTAGACTAATTAAAATACACATATTTGCAGTTAAACATTTTTCTCAACAGAATATTTCTACCTTATATAATCTACATTATAATCTCCTTTTTTTTGTTGCTATTGGGATATTCAATGAAAACTGGTTGAAAAAAGTCATTGTTATTGTGATGAACAAAGGAAAATGGATATTGTGGCAATCACCATACTTGTTTGTTACAATAAATGCATATGAACATGTCCACATACACATATGTACACAGATGATGCCTATAACATGGCTTGTTTTACATTTATAAGGAAAACATAAAAATGTCAACAAAATGGAAGATTAGAAAGACTTTCATCAAATTTCAAACTATCTCAACAATTACATTACTTAGAATATAGTTTTCATAGAATAAATTCCTTTCTTGCACTATTCACAGGGGTGACAGTCTAATGCAAGGGATTCAATAAACACATCTAAGCTATCTATTGTATCTCATACCATTTCACATTCCAATTGAAGGTTTAGAAAGTTTACAATTACAAAGTCTCCTTCATCATCACAACTTCATCTCTCAATATCATAAACCAATAAATCCAAGAAAGACAGAATAAAATGATTTTGCCCGCTCAGTGGAATGCAATGCAGCAATATACATGGCGCTCATTTTTATTTATGAAGAAATAAGAATCTGATATCATATATTGCCCAGACTATCCAACAAACATCACCACATTCTCTAGTTTTCATGAATTTTCACTTGTTTGCTGGTATAAGATTGCTTACTTACACCTGAGGAACCAAGGTCCCACCAGATCCCATATTATGCATTAACAGGTTAGGCAGTAACAAAAAAGTATTGTCTGGGTTATATAATAATATAGAAACACTAAAAACACTATTGATAGTTGTAGTTGTACACAACCCGCAATCACAAAATGAAAGGGAAAGCGAAAGTCTCTGCCATTTCTAGCCCAAACACCATTTACCAGATACCAATTTCTGCCAATTCATGTGTCACATGTTGAAAATTAAATAATTGAGATGACCTTATCCAGGTTGAACTCTACATGTATTCAACCCAAATTAACCGGTTCCTACTAATATGTTCTAACCCAAAACTCTGAAGGTAACCTTTGCCCCACATTCCCAAGGGAGATAGGCAAATAGCCTGCTCACCTGGTCCGGGTGCTCCTGGAGGCCCACCCTCTGGTCGCCTGGCAGAAGACCCATGACCGTACTCAAAGGTCTGCACTGGCTCTTGAAAGGCGTTGCCAGTATCTGACAACAAGGACACAAATTGTTGCAGAACCATACAACCTACCATGCATTTAACTAATAGTGACAAGAGTCCAACAACACTGTACACAAAGTACACACCAAGGCATATGAAATATACACATGAATAAGAAATTATTCAAATTTCCAAACTCTTAAGCAAAGGTGTTAGGATATCTTGCATATGTTTTTGGGTCTCCAGGGACAGTTACAATAAAATATTGAAGCCAAATAGGAATCAAATAAAAATCAAATCAACATTAAATTTAGACAGAACTTGATAAAGATAATAGGTAATTGAACTTAAAATAGAAAAGGGATTTAATTGAACTTGAGATGCAATTTTCATCAGATAAGTCCCCAAACAAGGTTTTCATCTCACTTAATTATTTTTTTATTGATAATTACAGAATCAAGTTTATAATTATTGATTTGTGAATTATAATAAAAGTTTTAGAACCAGTCTTATTGATTAGAATTGGGAAAACTTTGGAATACGATGTGATGAAAATGTAATTTCAATAAAACCTGATTTGGAAGGGGTGCATGTTCCCCAACAAATCCATTGTGCGCTATGCAGGTCAAGTGTTAACATGTGCACCAGCTCTTCATACACACTGTATTTACTACATACAGATTTTATATTCAGCATAAAATTTATTTTGTGTAGTTGTTTGTTCACCCACTACAAATTCATTTTAAAGCCTGGTGGGTGAAATGAGGTATTCACAATTTTGAGAACTATTTCATCACAGAGTTTTAAACATCACCATGAGTATTTATTTTACATTTTTACACATTCCCTATTTTTTCTTACATAAAAAAATATATTTACTAGTTTTTAATACACGCATAAATTGACAAAAACCATGCAGCTTCTGAACATGTGAGATGTTTTTTTATCTCCTCAGAAGACTGCAAAAACATACAATGAAATAAGTTTCAATTGACTGTAAAATGCAAATATTTGATTTTTTTATCATGCCTGATTGTATTCTCATAGCCAATGTGCACATGCCTACAATGTAGCTGACATCATGTACCGTGGAATGAAAAACATTCAAGTATTCATGTTTCAGAACAGTCAATTTTTGCTGCTGCAAACCACTAGTAAACTCATACATATGTACTACTAATCTCGCTTTTTTCTTCAATAAATTCCATTCCCAAATTATGAAACTTAAATGATATTAAAAACTACAATTTAGATTAATACTGTTCAATATTTATTTAATAGCTAATACAAGCTGTCTTAGCTATTTATTGACATGCTCTTGTTCATGGCCTCAAATTCTTTATATTCTTCCACATTCTTTAATAAAATATATCTGAAATCCACAGCAATAATTTTTTGCATGATCTGAGTTGTGAACTGTGAAATCTTACATCTCTCTTTCTCAGATGATGTGGAAGAGAAAATTACGTTTACAAGTTTTGGGAACGTTTTGCAAAGAAATACACTTTTTTATCATTCTGTCTCTTTGGTTAGCTGCACAAAGCTTACTATCAACACGGATTTTGTTGATCAACACACTGTGCAACAAGACTTTTTTTCTTTTTTATGCCATGTTTCACTTACTATGACCACATTTTTTTAAGATCCTCTCTTAACCAGTCCATTCAAAAATATTTTTCTGATTACCTGGTAAGTTCCGGTGGATGTCAAATAAAAAACACAAATATAATTACCTGTCATAAATACCATGATATTTATCGCATTTGCATTAACAAAAAGTTATTAAAAATAAGTCAACATTTGAGTTCGAGGTGGAAAGGCAATGTAAAACATAAATCCTAACTGAACTTAAGCCTAATCTGTGAATATAAGATGATCCTGTATTTTTCGAATGAGGTATTTAGAAGTAAACCTCATCTTATAATCGGGTAGACATTGTACCTAAAAAAAAAGCTCTAATGAATTTAACACCATCATCGCACATTCATCAGAATAGATCTGTCAAATATATTATTATTGTTCTTTCCTTACACCTTAAACAAAAAGAGGAGAGAGAGAGGAGAGAGAGAGGAGAGAGAGAGAGGAGAGAGAGAGAGGAGAGGAGAGAGAGAGAGGAGAGAATAGAGAGAGGAGAGAGAATAGAGAGAGGAGAGAATAGAGAGGAGAGAGAATAGAGAGGAGAGAGAATAGAGAGGAGAGAGAATAGAGAGAGGAGAGAATAGAGAGGAGAGAGAGGAGAGAGGAGAGAGAATAGAGAGGAGAGAGAATAGAGAGGAGAGAGAGGAGAGAGAATAGAGGAGAGAGAGAGAGGATAGAGAGAGGAGAGAGGAGAAAGAGGATAGAGAGAGGAGAGAGGATAGAGAGAGGAGAGAGAGAGGGGAGAGAGAGGGGAGAGAGGGAGA